TTGTGACAATGACAGACACAAACACTGTAACAGTGACAGAGACTGTATAAATACATTGTGACAATGACAGACACAAACACTGTAACAGTGACAGAGATTGTGTATATACATTGTGACAATGACAGACACAAACACTGTAACAGTGACAGAGACTGTGTTAATACATTGTGACAATGACAGACACAAACACTGTAACAGTGACAGAGACTGTATAAATACATTGTGACAATGACAGACACAAACACTGTAACAGTGACAGAGACTGTGTAAATACATTGTGACAATGACAGACACAAACACTGTAACAGTGACAGAGACTGTATAAATACATTGTGACAATGACAGACACAAACACTGTAACAGTGACAGAGATTGTGTATATACATTGTGACAATGACAGACACAAACACTGTAACAGTGACAGAGACTGTGTAAATACATTGTGACAATGACAGACACAAACACTGTAACAGTGACAGAGACTGTATAAATACATTGTGACAATGACAGACACAAACACTGTAACAGTGACAGAGACTGTGTAAATACATTGTGACAATGACAGACACAAACACTGTAACAGTGACAGAGACTGTATAAATACATTGTGACAATGACAGACACAAACACTGTAACAGTGACAGAGACTGTGTAAATACATTATATGAGACACATATGTTGTTATAAAAAGAACTTTTACATTATTAAATGGAGACATGATGTGCATCGTAATTGTAACTTCTAGAAGCAGTCTAGGCAGAACCGTCAGAAGACTTGTTACTGTACAGTATGATCACAGAAGTCTACGTCACTATTCTATATCGTGACAGAGGCTAACTGTTGCTTACTTTCTAATATAGTGAGTTATATCAACGGAACTTATTCACGAAACACAGGCAATGTAACATCCTGAAATTGAATATAATCGACCTGAAATAGTGAATACTCCTTGCCGTGTCAGCAATCCATTGGCCTCCGTATGTTACAGATTAACACAGAAAATACAAAGCCTGTGTACATGGTTATTAAGGCACACCGAAATATGGCGGAGAGATCGGCAATACTGGGAAATGCACGCGCACAGAGTCTATATTCGGTCGAGACAGTGTGTTGTGATCACTCAGCAGAACAAACGGCCTTGACCTTCGATAGACTCGCTTTCGGTTATATTTATTATGTAGATGTAAACAAAGACAAAACAGATACAAACAGATAGACAGGCCAAGTACAAGTTGTTCGTAACTTTCCGTCTTACTGGGTCATCAATATGGAACGTGTCGATTCAAATTTACATAATGGTATGGAACGTAATCCAATCAAAATGGTCTGTGGCCTTGAACTTGAACTTAAATAACTAGGGCGATTTCCGTTATATGTGAAATGTAAACAGTACCGTACATGTGACAGTGGGTTATAACATATGGTCGACAATTGATGTGTTATACAGACACGACAGGTAATTGTTGAGATGAAAATAAAATATTTCAGATGTGTAAGCAGACTAGTATGAATGTGGATAATATTCATCGTTGTTTCAAAGTCTTAATTTGACAACCGTCTTCTCACGGGAGATCAGCGAGCAACGCCAGCGTATTTGACTGGATTGATCGTAACTTTAGACCACATGGGACATCAGACAACACACATTCAACATTGATATAAATAACAGCCACGGTTAGAGCAAAGATATATGGTCTGAGAGGAATCTAATAGTAGATTCACCAGTTCCTCAAACGTGACAGAGTTTGACTGGACACTGTTGACAGTGGCGTGTTTAGAGTTTAAATATAAACCACTGACAGTGTTTGGTGTTGTTCATTTGTCAAAACTACAGACAGTATCTAGACTAGTTCTTATATGAAAACTACAGACAGTATCTAGTCTAGTTCCTATAAGAAAATATTGACAGTGTCGGGACTAGTGTTTATATAGGAACTATTGACAGTGTCGGGACTAGTGTTTATATAGGAACCATTGACAGTGTCAGGACAAGTGTTTATATAGGAACTACTGACAGTGTCGGGACTAGTGTTTATATAGGAACCACTGACAGTGTCGGGACTAGTGTTTATATACGAACCACTGACAGTGTCGGGACTAGTGTTTATATAGGAACTACTGACAAATTCAGGACTAGTGTTTATATAGGAACGACTGACAGTGTCGGGACTAGTGTTTATATAAAAACGATTGACAGTGTCGGGGCTAGTGTTTATATATGAACCACTGACAGTGTCAGGACAAGTGTTTATATAGTAACTACTGACAGTGTCGGGACTAGTGTTTATATAAAAACGATTGACAGTGTCGGGGCTAGTGTTTATATAGGAACCACTGACAATGGCAGGACAAGTGTTTATATAGGAACTACTGACAATGTCGGGACTAGTGTTTACATAGAAACTATTATTAGTGTCGGAACTAGTGTTTATATAGGAACTACTGACAGTGTCGGAACTAGTGTTTATATAGAAACTATTATCAGTATCTGAACTAGTGTTTATATATGAACTACTGACAGTGTCGGAACTAGTGTTTAAATAGGAACCACTGACAGTGTCGGGACTAGTGTTTATATAGGAACTACTGACAGTGTCGGAACTAGTGTTTATATAGGAACTATCGACAGTGTCGGAACTAGTGTTTATATAGAAACTATTATCAGTATCGGAACTAGTGTTTATATAGGAACTATTGACAGTGTCGGAACTAGTGTTTATATAGGAAATATTGACAGTGTCGGAACTAGTGTTTATATAGGAACTATCGACAGTGTCGGAACTAGTGTTTATATAGGAAATATTGACAGTGTCGGAACTAGTGTTTATATAGGAACTACTGACAGTGTCGGGACTAGTGTTTATATAGGAACTAATGACAGTGTCGGAACTAGTGTTTATATAGAAACTATTGTTTATATAGAAACTATTATCAGTATCGGAACTAGTGTTTATATAGGAACTATTGACAGTGTCGGAACTAGTGTTTATATAGGAACTACTGACAGTGTCGGGACTAGTGTTTATATAGGAACTACTGACAGTGTCGGAACTAGTGTTTATATATGAACTACTGACAATGTCGGAACAAGTGTTTATATAGGAACTACTGACAGTGTCGGGACTAGTGTTTAGATAGGAACTATTGACAGTGTCGGAACTAGTGTCTATATAGGAACTACTGACAGTGTCGGGACTAGTGTTAATATAGGAACTATAGACAGTGTCGGGACTAGTGTTAATATAGGAACTACTGACAGTGTCGGGACTAGTGTTTATATATGAAATATTGACAGTGTCGGGACTAGTGTTAATATAGGAACCACTGACAGTGTCGGAACTAGTGTTTATATAGAAACTATTGATGGTGTTCGGTCTATTGTCGATACAGAAACTATTGACAATGTCAGGTCTAGTGTTTATATAAAAAAAATATTGACAATGTTTGGTCTAGTGGTTGGATGGTAATGTGGTAATAACTCATTGTGAACTATGTAGCTCTACGCCAAATTCTAGACATTTGAGAATGCTGTCACCGCAATGCCTAATGCAACTTGACATACCGGACATGTCTCTAACTGTTTCCGGTATCTTATTATGGTTATTTATTTGTCAACACAGACCACGTGTTCTTTATAAGTATAACATGGGCCTTGTAATTCCCTTTTGTGCGTCACAGTGCAGAACAAACACACCGAATACATATAACATATATCATCGTCAATGCCAAACTACAAATACCCAACTTATAACGTGAAAGAATCCCAAAATATGCTGAAACAAGTCTCGTCATATAAACCACAACACAGGCGTGGTCGAGGCATGCACCAATGTTTCCGCTATGTAGGCGATATACAGTACTTCCGCATATATAAATAAAAAATACTCTATTGTTCAGCCATGTGTACATACTTTTCTTCATCAATAATACACTTTTTTAATGTCATTTTTTTCCGTTTGATGTCTCCCCTCCTGCGGTAAGCAATCCTTATTTAGTGTGACCGTTTTGTTGAATACAAAAGACGGCCTGTGGAATTTCACATATCTACAGCACGTGTACAGCGATGATTCAACAGACAGAACTACTGTACTAGCGAAATGACGTGTAACGCAGGCCCGAAGAATGCAACTATCCCGAAAATATAAAATCGTAGTCCCGTAACACAACAAAGCAATTGCATACAAAGAATAATTCAAGTTAACAGATAATTTTCTACTCGCTACCTGACTGTTTTTCGTTTTATATGTTTTTTTGAAGGTCCAAAAGCCAATGAGCTGACAAAACAGACAAATAAAACACAACTGGTAAATAGATATAGCATACGACACGTGTGTTTCAATCTTCTGACCTGATTTCTCTCTCACGAATAGCACAATATTCTTATATTCAGTAAAAGATGAAACTCTTCAATCACTCGATCGTTTATCAGTTTTACAAATAGTAGAACTTGTAAAAACATTATAAAATAAAATTTTAAAATAGAAGTGTGTGAAGGTTGTGGTATACACAGTTGAGTCACTGTAACCATGTCCATAAATGGATGCTATACAAAACTTATGATTCACACTCAGATTTGAGTGAATTCAGAAGTAAAACCAAGCACACTCACCGTAACAACGACATACACAAACATATCCTTTGATATCCTTTATTTCACAAACAAACAACTGAACAACAGTAGAGTCCTTTACAAAGTAGAAACTCCATACCATCCCACAAACACACTACTTCACAGACGCCATCTTTATTTCCATGACAACCCGACTCTTCTCTTCGGAAATTTGAAATCCAAATGAGGCTACCGTGTTACTCTCGCTCGAAAACGATACTTCCCGAGAGCGAAAACGAGGCGTGAGTATTATCCGAGTTGCTGATGCAAACGACGATGCCCATATAGGTGGCCCCCTATCGCCTTATATGGCAAGCGTGCACGAGTAGTTCGCGGAGTTCTCGGAAGGCTGTGGCCGTCGGGATATAAGCGCCGAGACAGTGTCAGACCGGTACCAGTTTGTTGTAGAAGCCAGACACAAGAGGGTGAGCACCCATACCAATAGTCTTTAGATTTACTTTGGAACTAACTCCAACCACAAACAAACATGTGTGACGACGAGGTAGCAGCTTTGGTTGTAGACAATGGCTCCGGTATGTGCAAGGCCGGATTCGCCGGAGACGATGCTCCACGTGCTGTTTTCCCCTCCATTGTTGGCAGGCCCCGTCACCAGGTAAGCTTAAGATTTTGAAAATGAAACTGAATTTTATCAAACTTTTTTTTTAAAGGATAAAAATGTGATAGTTTTAAATATTTTTAGAAGTTTATGACATGTTAGTGATAAGTTCGAAATTGTAGTGCAATACTACTGTCCTTGTCCACGTTCATTTGTTAACCCTTATCCTGGTGGGGAGGCAAAGCTTTAAGACAAACCTGAAGCTAGAGGAAGACAGACATTCGATTTTCCACTGTAGACAATACGAGAATACAATAACATGAAGTCAACATAAAAACATTTGAAACTATCATTAAATTTGAAAGCGTACGTAAGAAACACGTGATCTTGTAGTCTGAAGAGGGAGTAGAAATAATAATTCTTTTATACAAAACTAGCAGCTTTACTGATTTCTAATGTAGTGATTTTCCATCTTTGGGAATTATCAATAATGCCGGGCAAAACTGGCAACTTTCGTTATAACTTAGGTAATGATTTTCTATCGTTTGGAATTATCAATAATGCCGGGCCGGCCGGTTAAGAACACGTGCGTGTATCGTACTGTGTCTACATACAAATGTCATTGGGAAAATTGTAAATGTCGACCGACAACAAACACATACGTCCTGTAATTAGAGGTGTTTAAGATATAGAACATGTTGATTACTGCAGACGGGCGACATTTTCTCCTTAAATTGTAAATTCCAGACTGGTACAATCACCCTACACGCTCGTACGTACGCGGGAGGCAGGGCACCACATGTTACAGGGCCAGATAAGGGGGGACCGTGTAGATTTAAGTTTGAAGGCGGAAGTAATGTTGAAAAAGAGCTAAAAACTATAACATCAAAACGGGACTTTCTATTCGGGAAAGATAAGTGCACAAAATAGCTTCAGTAGTAAAATGGAAAAAGTAACTAGAATAACTATGAAATGTAAAAAATCGGGTTTGAAATATTTATATCTCCCTCTAGAAGTCCTCTATAATTAGCCACGCTGAGTAACAGCAGTGGGCTCGGCTTCAGTGGTCCCCCTCACTCTTGGGGAACGGCCCAGTGCTTCTGATGCTGGGCTGTCCATATAAGGAAATCCTACTCCACCTATCACGTGATCCTATTGCAACTCCCGTCGTGACCTTTTTAACTTGACCCCGTAAGATTTTGATAAGGCATTCTCGGCACTTCTGTGTTGTATTGCTGTAGAGAACATGAATTCTTATTAGTTATCTCAAATTTCCTCCTCGGCTAGGAATTTTAACTGCTATTTCCAGGCGGGTTTAACATTCTTCAGCAAAACAAAATTCCACAATTCATGAAACAGATATACCTTATTCTAGACTTTGATACCACTATCACTTAAAGTACTAAATGATAAAATAAATTAAGATAATATGGATGTTTTCCTCACAATTCAGTTAAATGTAGATCAACATTAAGTTTCGAGGTAATTAGAAGAGAGATTGAAATTAATTACATTATATATGGATATGTTAATCGAATTAAATATTTAAATAAATCAAGTAATTTATTATACGGAATCAATGTACAAAAGAAAAAAAACCCAAACATTCGACAAATCGTGCAAATAAAACATAAAATCACGAAATATTAGGCTGAATTAAATCACAGAAATACCATGTTCCGTTCTTTAGGTTCGTGGACGAAGTTCCCTATATCCATGGGTTCATTCAATACAATTCCTATGTAGTATGTTGTTACATAGGTATCAAGATCTACTGGTCTTCATGTTTAGGTGTTATTGACAATCAGTGGTTATGATAATTAACCACACTCGATGTTTTATGCTCTAATCGTGTAGATTTATAAATCCAAATCAGTGTACATAGGACATCCGAATGTATATTTGTCACCGAAATAGTTTATATTGTTCCGGACCCGATTATCTTGTAAAAGGTAAATTTATTTAATTTGAGAAAGGTCAACAATCATTTTCATCGGTTTGTTGTCTCGCGTTTTTTTCCTGTCTCCGTTGTAACATGTTTTTAAACTTTGTGTGTTTCAGGGTGTCATGGTTGGTATGGGTCAGAAAGACAGCTACGTAGGAGATGAAGCCCAGAGCAAGAGAGGTATCCTCACCCTCAAGTACCCAATTGAGCACGGTATCGTCACAAACTGGGATGATATGGAGAAGATCTGGCATCATACCTTCTACAACGAGCTCCGTGTCGCCCCCGAGGAGCACCCAGTCCTCCTTACCGAGGCTCCCCTCAACCCCAAGGCCAACAGGGAAAAGATGACCCAGATCATGTTCGAGACCTTCAACGCCCCCGCTATGTACGTCGCCATCCAGGCTGTCCTCTCCCTGTACGCTTCCGGTCGTACCACCGGTATCGTCCTCGACTCCGGCGATGGTGTCACCCACACCGTCCCCATCTACGAGGGTTACGCTCTCCCCCACGCCATCCTCCGTCTCGACTTGGCTGGACGTGACTTGACCGATTACCTCATGAAGATCCTCACCGAGCGTGGTTATTCCTTCACCACCACCGCCGAGAGAGAAATCGTCAGGGACATCAAGGAGAAACTCTGCTATGTCGCCCTCGACTTCGAGAGTGAGATGAGCACCGCTGCCTCCTCCTCCTCCCTCGAGAAGAGCTACGAGCTTCCCGACGGTCAGGTCATCACCATTGGAAACGAGCGTTTCAGGTGTCCCGAGTCTCTCTTCCAGCCATCCTTCTTGGGTATGGAATCTGCCGGTATCCACGAGACCACATACAACTCCATCATGAAGTGCGACGTCGACATCCGTAAGGATCTGTACGCCAACACTGTCCTGTCCGGAGGTACCACCATGTTCCCAGGTATCGCTGATCGTATGCAGAAGGAAATCACCGCCTTGGCTCCAAGCACCATGAAGATCAAGATCATTGCTCCACCAGAGAGGAAATACTCCGTCTGGATCGGTGGCTCCATCTTGGCTTCTCTGTCCACCTTCCAACAGATGTGGATCAGCAAACAGGAATACGATGAGTCCGGCCCATCCATTGTCCACAGGAAATGCTTCTAAATTATTCTTCAAATTAATAGGACTTCAAATTATTTTTTCATTTTCGGTACTGTGAAGAATGGACTCAACCTCGTGCTTTATTGAAATGAACAGGACACGCTGACAGACAGAATCTCGTTTTGTCCGATAAAGTGCGATACCTAAGTGTTTTTCAAGACACCAGTGACATTCCGTCAGCAGCCTGGGTAAGGCAATGGTTTCGAAGGTTTTTACTAACCAGAATATATGGACAAATATACACACTAAGGATACTTGCCGTCGTTTAATTTAATATAATTTACTTTTAAATAAATCTATGCAAATCTATAGTTTGATGGAAGTTGATTTCTCAGGACGGGAAGTTATATTTTGTACAGGAAGTTGAGAGTATGACGGGACGTACTGTGTACATCTGTGTAACTATGGTGATGTAATGTAAATATCATTCACACACTGTAAAGAAAAACTGGCATCATTTATCAAAGAATATTGTGATAATGCACCCACGTTTGTATACATGTCGTATGGATGTAAGTCCACCATCCAGAGCAAATTAAACATGTTAAAGTTTATCACGTCTTTGACATCTTTTGTTATAGTCACGTGACAGCCATGATGCACACACATGCATATGTATGATTATTCCATCATGTCTGTTATGTTGTAAAGATTTAACTTGCTTTTTGTTGACGAAAACACTATTTAAACAAGGAAATCTGGTCAGTTTTTCTAAATACAGTTGTCATGTTATATAAAGGCTAGGTTGGGGTTTGATTGCCGAGTTTGATATGTTAATTTACATAATATACAATATTTTCTTATTCTTAATATCGATTATGTATTTGGATATTTTTCAAGAAAACTTAAAATTTAGCAGAAGGCAATTGAAATTCCAATTTAACCTATATATAATATGGACCCTCATAGATGCAACCCACAGGCGCTTGAAACAATACATCATCGGATTTTTCATCAGGTGCTTCGCAATAACGGTAAAAAAGAAACATTTTTGTAAATAACTAAAGTTTAAGAAAACCGATGTAGCATTGTTCCAAGCCTTTTGTTACACGACTCACGACGACTGAGGACGACTCTACTAACGACGAAGATCTTAGTCAATTCGACCGATTAACGCTGAAGTTATATACAAAACCTTCTCATCATACCATGAAAGTGAATTAATTTTGTCCCACCTGACACCAATGGAGGTTTAACCTGTAATCTGACGATGTTACAGTTTGGAATATGTCACGTGATCGACACTAGTACTCAATCTGATACCGAACTACTGATTCGACTAGGTGTACTAGTAGATCGAATAACTTTAGTTTAGTGTCGATTTTTCATGATTTAAAAACAAGGAAGTCAACAAAACGATGAAAATTAGAGAATAACATGTTTTTAAGGATAATATTCGGTATGTACATCAAATACCAGACTTTTCTTGAAGAATTGATCATGGATAAATGTCTCAAAAAGTTTGAAGCCATTTCAAAGGTGAATGTTGAAAAACCTTAAACCCTTGTTAAATGACCGAGATCGATGATGCAAAAGAAACCTATGAAGATGACTTTTTAATAGATACAAACATTTCCTCTAACGATACACGCTAGATCAATGGTAGTTCACTATATGATTACTATCCTAGGGAAAGTCATTGGAATCAGGGCAAATAAGCAGTTTTTCAACAAAAGGCGAATCACAGGGACAAACATGTGTAGTGCTAAATCAATATTCCTCTAGGTCATTAAACATGAACTAATTTCTTTCACTGATACAATATAATAATAGGTTCCGAGGATTGCAGTTTTGAAACGGTTACAGTGTAACGTAAGAGTTAAGGATATCGTTAGGAAAGGATATGAGCTATCGTGATGATACATATGGGTAGGTTTCCGAGGAATAATGGTTCTGGATACAGGATCAGTAACATCTTGGTTTTAACAAGTAATCAGTGGCTTAAACTACTTTTACATGTACATAAGTATCATATATATAGTGTACTTTAATTGTACGAGGGCTAGGGAAAGCAATGCTGTGGTCTAGATATTATTGATCCTTCCGGTTTTGCAATGTCTTTATTCAGATATCTACTTGTATTCAGACAAAAAAATGATTCTAATTATTGTTTAATTACACAGTCAACTTACCTTCTAATATCAGTAAGGCGCCCCTACCAGTATGAAAAAACAAAAAACAAAAAAAAAAACAAAAACAAAACAAAACAAAACAAAAACAAAAACAAAAAAAAAAAACCTGAAAACTTGGCTGCTTTTGAATTTCGTTTTCTTGAAATATGCTGTACATACAGTCGTTAAACATTAAGGTAAGCTTTATATACAAATTATTATCAATATTTCGCCATTCGGTTTCCTGCACATTGTAAAAAAATAAGTCTAGCGTCAATCAGTCGTTATAAGTAACGATATCTTGTTACACACAAAGAAAGGCACTTGTAGCGAGAGATATTTTGTCAGAAGATGGCACAGGGGAGATCACTCTTAAATTAGATCGTGATCTTACAGAACTGAATAATGTTGATAAAATATTGTTTTGCTGATGATATTATGATATGAGTACATTGGTATGAGTTACTAGAAATCGGCCATTTTATCGTAATAGCAGAAAATATAAAGCTGATTTTGAATATAACATTTCGTCTCAAACACATTGGATAGAGTCGATTTCAAAGGCAGCTCATGATCAAATGTAAATCTCCCAACAGTAAAACCCTTGTCTAGATAACGCAGAACAAATCTGATATGTGAAATTCATAGCTGTCTATGCAACAAATAATTTCTATTATTTTTTGTTTAAAAATTGACACGTGAACTTCATTTGAAATTAATTATGTATTTCGTCAGCTCAGTTTTTACTCCTACGGTAAAATGTAGCGCTGAATAGATGTTTTAAGGACTTGTGAATAATCTTTATGTAGTGACGTAGTGATTTGCATAATGGCGGTAGCAATGTATGCATGTTCTTGTTGTTATTGTACTTCTAATAAGATCAACTCTGGAATTACACAATTTAAAAAGACCTTACATGACATCAAGATAAGGTTTCTTTTCATAGTTTTTTTAGCGCCGCCTTCCCATTCCCATGGAGTTATGTCCCCTTCATGTACATCGGATAAGAGAATGTGCACTTTCGTTTTGTAAAAATAATTTCTTCCTTTATTCTTAACTTGTAAAACCAATCGGTGGACTCTCAGTATCATTTACATGTTGCTTTCCTTTTCATTTTTTTGAAAATCGTTTGAAATCAAGTCCTTTAAAAGATTTCGCCAGATTCACTGCGGTACTTAGTGTATTTCAGAACAGGAAAGGGGAAACACCCAGATCTATGGACAAAATATAGAAGTGTAACACAGAAAGTACACACACAATAATTTTGGATACTGGATTAGTCTGATTTTTATTGGGAAGAATATAGATAACTTGTAACTGATGTAGTTTTTTAGGCTGATGTGTCCTCTGGCATGGTGTATCATTGAATGAGTGAGGTAATTCAATTAGCAAGGCCAGGCCTTCGACATCAACTCATTACTGTTTATAACAAATATCAACTCAAAAAACCAATATGATTATTTCATCTGAAAAATCAAACCAATCTAGAAAGTGTGGAAAATAAAACATTCGGATAAATTAAAATTAAAAAAAAAAAAAAAAAAATTAAGTTTTTGGAGTAGAATCAAGAGTATGTGGATATAGTGATATGAATTCCTGTATTTTATAATCACGTGACAGAAACTCGTATAACGTTGTGAAAAGATGCCTCAAAGGTAAAGTATGTTAATGTAACATTGTTTTCCATAAAACCCCCAATACCTTCAAATGTGGTCTGCAATGATATAGACAAAGTTATTGGTAAAACATACATCACCTGAATGTAACAAATAACACAAAGACGTTGTAATGTAAAATATATATATGTGTGTATTTAATTTTGTTAGGACCAGATATACACAGTCCTTGGTATGATATACGTTTTTGTTATCGGCAAATAGAAGAAACTAAGAAGGACTTCAATGGGCGAGGAAGCATTGGGTGGCATCAGTGGCCTAAAGAAGCCAGAAAGGACTTCAATGGCCCCAGGAGTGCAGGGAGGGCTTCAGGGGGCCGAAGAGGCAAAAAAATGGATTAAGTGGGCCAAAGAAACCAGGAAGCGTTTAGTGGGCCAAAGAAACCCAGGAAGGGCTTAGTGGGCCAAAGAAACCAGGAAGGGTTTGGTGGGCCAAAGAAACCCAGGAAGGGCTTAGTGGGCCAAAGAAACCAGGAAGGGTTTAGTGGGCCAAAGAAACCCAGGAAGGGCTTAGTGGGCCATAGAAACCAGGAAGGGTTTAGTGGGCCAAAGAAACCCATGAAGGGCTTAGTGGGCCATAGAAACCAGGAAGGGTTTGGTGGGCCAAAGAAACCCAGGAAGGGCTTAGTGGGCCAAAGAAACCAGGAAGGGTTTAGTGGGCCAAAGAAACCCAGGAAGGGCTTAGTGGGCCATAGAAACCAGGAAGGGTTTAGTGGGCCAAAGAAACCAGGAGGCGTTTTGTGGGCAAAAGAAACCAGGAAGGGCTTAGTGGGCCAAAGAAACCAGGAAGGGTTTGGTGGGCCAAAGAAACCCAGGAAGGGCTTAGTGGGCCAAAGAAACCAGGAAGGGTTTAGTGGGCCAAAGAAACCCAGGAAGGGCTTAGTGGGCCATAGAAACCAGGAAGGGTTTAGTGGGCCAAAGAAACCCATGAAGGGCTTAGTGGGCCATAGAAACCAGGAAGGGTTTGGTGGGCCAAAGAAACCCAGGAAGGGCTTAGTGGGCCAAAGAAACCAGGAAGGGTTTAGTGGGCCAAAGAAACCCAGGAAGGGCTTAGTGGGCCATAGAAACCAGAAAGATTTAGTGGGCCAAAGAAACCAGGAGGCGTTTTGTGGGCAAAAGAAACCAGGAAGGGCTTCAGTATGCCCAGGAAGGCAAGGAAGGCTTCAGTGGGCCCAGGAAGGCATCAGCGGGCCAAAAAACCAGGAAGGGCGTCCGTTGGCCACAGAAGGCAGGGAGCGCTTCATTGGGCCAAAGAAGGCAGAGAGAGCATTACTGGGCCAAAGAATGTAGCAAGAACATCAAAGGCTCAAAAAAGCCTGGTAGAGGTCCAATGAGACAAGTTAGTTCTTCCTCGTTAAAATAAAGAGAGGAAGCCAGAAAATATAAAATGTTAAATAAAATAGTACATATTTTTGTGACATATTTCTTTTCTTTCTTCAGTTCAGTCTTACAACTGTATGACAGTCATAACCAGCGTACAGGTATATACACAGTAACAATAGATCCGTGGTATTGATGAAATGACATTAGAAGCGTTATCACGTAGTTCTACCGTCGTCTTTCAAATAATGAGCGATATCTGTAAGTACAAGAATATCGCCCCATTCTTAGATGACGTCGACACAAGCTGGGGAGGTATGTAGATGACATACATATACGTATTCTGGGTTAAACAATACAATACAATGTGCCTTGGAGGCTAATGTAGATAAAAATGTATATAAAAAATCCAAGTACAGTTAACAGTATGTATACATAGTCCAACCTCTGTTACATATTTACATAAATATATCGATTTACAAATTCATTACTCATTTGTAAATGTTCAAATATAAACGAGTTATCTGTAAACATTTCAATAAAAGTATTTGTGTAGGTGGGATTTTCAAAGTATGTATCACAGATTTTAAGAAAGTGACAAACACAGTGTACGTTTCGTTTATTAAGATTGACAGTACATTATTCTCCTCACCAGTCTGGTGAACAAGAGCCCGTGGTCTAAATTCTCCTTACCAGTCTGGTGAACAAGAGCTCGTGGTCTACATTCTCCTTACCAGTATGGTGAACAAGAGCCCGTGGTCTAAATTCTCCTTACCAGTCTGGTGAACAAGAGCCCGTTGTCTAAATTCTCCTTACCAGTCTGGTGAACAAGAGCCCGTGGTCTACATTCTCCTTATCAGTCTGGTGAACAAGAGCCCGTGGTTTCCTATGCAGATTTACCTACATACCAGCTAGGTAAGCCAGTCTGTGATCCAGATTTACCTACATACCAGCTAGGTAAGCAAGGCCTGTGATTCAGATTTACCTACATACCAGCTAGGTAAGCAAGGCCTGTGATCCAGATTTACCTACATACCAGCTAGGTAAGCAAGGCCTGTGATCCAGATTTACCTACATACCAGACAGGTAAGCAAGGCCTGTGATCCAGTTTTACCTACATACCAGACAGGTAAGCCAGAGTTTGTGCTCTATGATGATGTGTACAACATTGCTAACAGGACATTATTCAGTCCTTTGCTGAGATCAAACTCCTTTATTAATTCGGGTACAACAACCACAGCCTCGTAACCTCACACATTATCGAATCTATTTCACGCATTTGACATTTCAGCTATGAAAAAATATATACATACATCGGGTAATAATAAACACCTAAAATACAAGAATTGGCAACATAACATTTTCTGATAAAAAAGGAAACTTCTTTCCCAACATTAATTTTCTAATGGATTTTATCAATGATCCTGCCTTCGCACTTTCACTGGATTTCTTAATGTAGAGCTGTCAACTTTAGTTGTAGAGTTCTTCCTTTGGAAATTCATACAAAGGATTTGTGTTCAAGATAACATTTCCCTCATGAAATGTTTAAACAAATTATTCAGCTGCAATAAACCAGCTGATCTCCCTCTCCAGTCAGTATTTTTGTTCCTTAACTGGATGTTTCTCAGAACTTGTGATAAGGGTTATTACTAGACCCGTTTGGTTCTGGTGCATCCATAGTTTTCGTCTCCGGCAGGTTATCGTAAGGGTTCTGTGATGCTGACCCCATGGTATCGTATGGGTTGCCTGTGGACGCACCTGCCATGTCGTATTGAGGGTTGGAGATTCCACCGCCATCAATCTGTGCTGTAGGGTTATGGAATTCGTTTCTTCCTGAAAACTTCACATTCGGGGACTCCACAAATCGAGCCTTTGAGGATCTTCTGAAAATAAAAAAAAAAAAAAAAAAACCAAACATGAAAATTGTTTCACCAGAAGTGCGTTACCCCGCACGTCCCGATACTTAACGATTTTCAGTACATACTGTCTTTATTAATGGGTTTTTTTATCATTGCTTAATGTTTCAGGTACAAACGTCCACATGCTGCGATATATGTTAAGTCGCTTATTTAAATCACTGACCTGCTTCGATAGTAATAGTAGCCTATTGCCAGGATAATTAAGATGACCGCGACCATGATTAAGACACCATATCCAATACCGGCACTAACGCCTGCACTGCCAACCTGGAGCTCAGGACTAGTTACATCAGCTTCTGCAATGTAATGTGAAAAACACTTAGTGCAAAAAACATTATTAACCATAACGACAGGTAGTAGATGAAGGTAGTAACAATGTATAGTGATAGGATGAGGTGGTCAAGTTAATCCACTGATATACCACGTGAAAGTTAAATCCACTGATCTACCGCGTGAAAGTTAAATCCACTGATCTACCACGTGAAAGTTAAATCCACTGATCTACCGCGTGAAAGTTAAATCCACTGATCTACCACGTGAAAGTTAAATCCACTGATCTACCGCGTAAAGTTAAATCCTACCGCGTGAAAGTTAAATCCACTGATCTACCGCGTGAAAGTTAAATCCACTGATCTACCACGTGAAAGTTAAATCCACTGATCTACCACGTGAAAGTTAAATCCACTGATGAAAGTTAAATCCACTGATCTACCGCGTGAAAGTTAAATCGTGAAAGTTAAATCCACTGATCTACCGCGTGAAAGTTAAATCGAAAGTTAAATCTACCGCGTGAAAGTTAAATCCACTGATCTACCACGTGAAAGTTAAATCCACTGATCTACCACGTGAAAGTTAAATCCACTGATCTACCGCGTGAAAGTTAAATCCACTGATCTACCGCGTGAAAGTTAAATCCACTGATCTACCACGTGAAAGTTAAATCCACTGATCTACCACGTGAAAGTTAAATCCACTGATCTACCGCGTGAAAGTTAAATCCACTGATCTACCGCGTGAAAGTTAAATCCACTGATCTACCACGTGAAAGTTAAATCCACTGATCTACCGCGTGAAAGTTAAATCGATCTACCGCGTGAAAGTTAAATCGATCTACCGCGTGAAAGTTAAATCCACTGATCTACCACGTGAAAGTTAAATCCACTGATCTACCGCGTGAAAGTTAAATCCACTGATCTACCACGTGAAAGTTAAATCCACTGATCTACCGCGTGAAAGTTAAATCCACTGATCTACCGCGTGAAAGTTAAATCCACTGATCTACCGCGTGAAAGTTAAATCCACTGATCTACCACGTGAAAGTTAAATCCACTGATCTACCACGTGAAAGTCAAATCTACTTTTCTATCAAGTGAAAGTCAAATCTACTTTTCTATGACGAGAAACTCAGGATCATCTATTATGAGCAAGTTTTCTGAAAACTAAGTTAATTTTCAGGACCAAAACATACTTAAAATATATCTTAAGAAATTTGATTTCGGATACATATAAATTATATGAGAGGTGAATCAACATCGTATAAATTATGCTTTGCTTATGATTACAGGACAGGATAGAACGATGATCAATTAAGATACATTTTAAACATATCATCATCAGTCTATACATAGGAACAAATAGTTACTTCTTAAAAAAATACTTTTAACATCCGCCTTATTAAATTCAGGTTCATGACAGTAAAATGTACACAATGTAAAAATACAATTAAACATAAATGAATTTACCTTCAATTACACACGAAAAAAATCTAATGTCTTGCGATAAATTACATGTACCTCATGCCTAAAGATAAGGATTAACAATGTTCCCATGTCGACAATATTGATATTATTGAATAGTAACAATGCTGTAGTAATAATAATGGGAGATAACATTGTTCCCGTGATAGTGACAAGGTGGAATAGTAACAATGTTCCCATGAGAAGGACATGGTGGAATAGTAACAATGTTCCCGTGAGAGTGACAAGGTGGAATAGTGACTATGTTCCCGTGATAGTGACAAGATGGAATAGTAACAATGTTCCCGTGATAGTGACAAGGTGGAATATTGACTATGTACCCGTGATAGTGACAAGGTGGAATAGTGACTATGTTCCCGTGATAGTGACAAGGTGGAATAGTAACAATGTTCCCGTGATAGTGACAAGGTGGAATATTGACTATGTACCCGTGATAGTGACAAGGTAGAATAGTGACTATGTTCCCGTGATAGTGACAAGATGGAATAGTGACTATGTTCAATATTGATATGGTCAGGTAGTAACTACATACCAGTACACAAAGAGGCTGGCTTTATACTCCACTGTCCAGTGGACATACACCGCACGGTCCGAACGTTAGTATTTTTCACAAAATTGTTCCGACACGAAAAAGTATAGTCATTGTTTGCCACAAAAGGACTGCTGGGCGAAAGCATTATACCCGGCAAGGTATCATTACAGGTCAGAGCTGAAACAAGAATGATGTTTTATTACAAGTCACATCTCAAACAAGAATGATGTTTTATTACAAGTCACATCTCAAACAAGAATGATCTTTTATTACAAGTCACATCTCAAAGCAATACGTCGTTTCATTTCAAGTCACATCTCAACTAACTACATCGTTTCATTACAAATTATAACTCAAACTAGTACGTTCTTTGCTTCCAAGTCTCATTTCAAACAAAAATAGTGTTTCGTTACAAGTCTCATCGCAAAGAAGTACGCTGTTTCATTACAAGTTACGCCACAAAGAGCGTTGCTTCATTACAAGTCACGCCAAGAAGAACGTTGCTTCATTACAAGTCACGCCACGAAGAACGTTGCTTCATTACAAGTCACGCCACAAAGAGCGTTGCTTCATTACAAGTACCATTTCAAACAGAATTATTTCATTACAGGTCACGCCACATACAGTACACTATTTCAATACAAGTGGTATTAATTATGAATAACAAGGTAGAGATATTAATTTATTTCCAACTAGAAATATTAATCATATTGTCCAGCCAGTGGCCGATTATAGACAGGATACAGTCTGTCATTCATGTCGGTCATGTAAGTCCATCTCTACACGAACCATATAGACAATGCATTTATATCTAATCACCTAGATATCACAAGTCAAATATTAATTCATGCGACATATAATACACCCCATTGTTAACTGATACATGACTGTTTTACAATCTGTAACCTTTGTCCATTCTTACCTCTGCATAGTTGATTGGATGCCATAGACCACGTGCGATCTACTCGACAGGATACCCGTCCCAAATAGACTGCTCTGAAGCCATCCTTACAAGTAAATCCACATTCAGTTCCAGCATTGGACAGACAACTCGATTCTAGTATCACGTTGTCCAGGTCGGGGCACTTGATGGCTACAATCAAAATTCACATAATTCTATTTTCTATCCGTATTTTAACCATAAAACAAAAAGCAAATCTTGTTCCACGCAACAATACTGCAGAGCAGTAATCCCCAAATCGAGTTCATTGGTGCTGACAGCCAGTACACATGTACATCAACGACCCGATCTCTTTTGTCTCCTAAACATGTCAGTCTATATGCATTATCGAAACAAATGACTATTTAGGCTAGCCAAAAAATTGGATGATTATTACAAGATCCTGACAATGATTCTATTTGAATTTTTGGTTTTGTGACTACGATCACAGAATGTCCATATACTTACGTTCACAGACTGTGTTCGGGTTGACGCTGATCGTTCCATCGGCGCGGCAGTGAACTGACAGGACGTGTTTATTCAGCAAGTAGTTACCATTACACCTGATCGTACAGACGCTTCCTACTTTGCAGTCAGCACTCAGCATACCGTTCTGGACAATCGGTGAACATCTAACAACTAAAGAGAGAGAGAGCTGTGAGTAATATGTCAACATTCAGTTTGATTAAGGCATTTCGAAGCATATGCAAAGCATGACGACATGTCATCAATGCACGGAAACCACTGTTCTGTTTTTGCTGAAGATGTATCCTCAGTTTGAAATCAATCTTAATATCATTATCAGGTACCGATAGAGTGTCAATGCTTGAATAAATTGGTTACCGTCGCCAGAAAGATAAAATGATTTATTGTATCAAATGTGTTTGTATCAAAGCAACGTCTCGTCAATACAAAGCGCTTAAAGTGTCACAGATATAATGTTTCTTTACTTTGAATAATATTGGTATCTATCCTAATATTAAAGCCCCAATATACGTAACATTCACCAAAAATTTAGTGTAGAATCACACATAATTATTGAGATATTCTCTAAGATGTAGTTAAAATTAAGTTATTCAAACAATAGTTACCATGACTTTGTGCATAAAGTATTGATATATGAGCAGTTGAAACTCGCTATTTGTAAGCACACCTCCATTTTAAACACGCCGCCATCGAAATTACGATTGTTGCCGAACCACGTCGGAAAGTTCATGACCTGATCTCACGAGAGTTGAGGTTTCTACTTATAGAGGAAGCACATGCAGATATGTCTACGGTAAGTTTTTGTTTACAAACATTGTTTGCAAAGTCTTGTCGTAGACTTGAGATATTCCTGTGATAAACATTCAGTTTTTGGGAAATTATTAGAAGGAATAATTAGTTTAGAAACGATACGACGCACAATTATAACGTAAGAATTCAGAACTGGCCTGATGTATAATTGAAAAAAAGGGAAGCGACTGGTGAACGTCTGTACTGTGTCTGCCATGTTTACACACGCGGAATATGCGCATGCGCAATGTCATCGCTACGAGCGGTAATGTATGAATTATTGTGGGTCCCACATTGTTTATTTTCCGATTTTTTTCAATTTTTATTTAAATTGAAAACAGTCAGTTTTATTTTCTTTCATTAAAGGAAAATATTTGTTTTGTTACATATATTACGGGGAAAATAAGATAAAGTTTGTTTTTTAAAGTGAGTTTTACGTATATTGGGGCTTTAAAGGAATACTAGTCTTGTAGGTAAGAAGACTAATTTAAAATTTGTTGTAACAATTAAGGTAATTATGAATAACATGATAATAGCTAAAATATATATTTACGGTTCCTACACATATTGGCGTATTACACCGATAATAACACGATCTAAACCAAGAAACACATTCATTATCGATTATCATTAGAAAGCGATATTCGCACGGGATGTGATGAACTGTAGAAAAGTTTGAAAGTTATGAAAAGCGTTTGGTATTTTTACTTTTGTTGTTTGTATCAGGAGAGACCGCTCTACATGAAGTTATTTAAACTCTCTCTCTCTCTCACTCTCTCCCTCTCTCTCTCTCTCTCTCTCTCAAACTCTCTCTCTCTCTCTCTCTCTCTCTCTCTCTCTCTCTCTCTCTCTCTCTCTCTCTCTCTCTCTCGTATATTATAATTGTATTTAAACATGTCGTCTTGTCTTGCTAATATGTATTATGTAAAATTTTATAGGAAAGGGCTTTATATAAGTTAGAAAACTTGTGCCCAATCCTGCTTGTATACTTTGTACAAATAAAATATGTTTAAATAAAAAAATTCATTATCGAAATGGTTGTCCGTCAAATGTAACAGCATTATTTGAACTGCTGCCGTGATCGTCTAGAACACTTCCGTTATAATGGTCATGAGCTGACTGGCATTGATCGTATCATGATTCACAGTTTGCTGGTCAATTCACATTTCACATTGCCGTGCAAATGAGAATATATGCAAACAAAATCCCATCTCCTTTTAAATGTTGATACCTTAATATGTGAGTATAAAAAAGAACCTACTTGGTTTACAGATGGTGGAGCTGTCAGGTGTCCAGTAGCCAGTTTTTTGACAGCTCACTAAGGATCCCGAGGGGCCGGGGGTGTAGTCGGTGTCACACGTGACTGAGCACACGGCATTAATTGACCGGTCACATCCAATTGATAAATTACCATGAGGTATGATCAGAGGACACGTGATTGCTGTAAAAACATGGGCGAAACACTTCTTATCTAACATCAATTCCCAATTTTAAAAAAAGAATGATAAACTAGACTGAACTAACTAGACTTGTCAGATACAGGATAAGTAATATTCTTACATTTGTGAAATCTAGATTGTACTAGGTAAATGTTTTCAGATGTCAATTAGAGACAATGAAAGGTTTTGTGACACAGTATACCACAGTATACATCTAAATCAGGATTACCACTCCTTCATACAGAACTTTACAACAAAGAATAACGGATCTTCAGACTTCAGGCTGTGAATTATCATAGTAGCCCAGAGGACTGAACGAGCTGTAGGATGCACATTTACTTAATAGTCAATTCAAAAATGTGGTTTTCCCTTTTACATGATCAACAGGTAAATTAATAAAGAAATGTATCTTTAAATATGTTTGATTGTGTAAAACCTTCGGTGATGAAGTGAGCTAGTTCAAAAATACATTCTATATTTCTAATTAGAAAAAGAAAATTCTTTATAAAATATCATAGAACTTACGTTCGCAAATTGTGTTTATATCAAACTCCCAATCTCCGGTACTTGTACAAGTCATCTTATCAAAAGCAACAGCTGGGTTTCTGCGATAACCTTCGCTACATGATACCCTGCATTTGTAACCCTCAATAGCATGGCAGTCAACGTCAGGTACCAAACTTCCAAATGGTATAATGCTGGTACATTCTTTCTTCTCTACAAGGTAAACAGGTGGTGGTATGACATTTGATATCACTTATTACTTATCCATGTAAGGCTCTACCCACTGACCTTTAACATCAGGATTTACAGTTCCTAATACACTGACATCATCTCTCTCCATAGTCCATGTTAGGAATTAAACTCAAAATACAATTTATTCAACTCTAGACACTTTAACATATGTAAAAAGCTTCTACACTCCAATAGTTTAGATCACTATGCTGCATTCGTTTCAGTGTACTTTAAAAGTTCATCCTCAAAAGTTCATTTTAACATATTCAAGAAAATGTACTTAGATACTATAACAATATAATGATTGCCATAAATCACAAGGCAACAACATTATGGTGACAGTGCAGTGACAGAGTTTTCAGATAAGCAATACTACCAACCTCCTTGACATGTCTTCCCGTCCGACAATAGCAGGACTCCGTCCTCACATCCACAGGCATGGGAGTTTGGAATAGGCAGACAGAATGTGGTACATTCTCCGTTGTTATTCTGACACCCCACGTTCACTAGAATACAAGTATGTGACTTTAATACAAAATTATTAGCTTCTTTCTGATGACCAACGCCACAATGGTATATTCTTACAACACAATATTTTGCACATTGACTTATATAAGAGTTCGCTCCCCTTTCGTAAGCTATGAATATGGGGTTTAATAGTAGAACAGAGTTAGCTGGAAATATCTCTAGCTAGATGTCCCCATCTGGTTGTAAATAAACTTACATCGGTTTTTCGATATTTCATGACTTGTTTCCAGTACCACGATTTTCATTCAAGATGTCGGCATCTGAGAAACTCACAACAAAGGGTTTCGAGAGATGTAAGATGATGAAGATTTACTATCGTCTCATCGATAGTCTAGTTCTGTGTGCGATATGAAGCTGAACATGTTTGTTCGTTGACGACTGGTGGTTCCGTTGTTGTTTATCTCATTTTGGAACGTGACATTACTTCCTTCGACTGACAAATATTTTCCTGTAGTCAATGAAGCAGAATACGCCCATCCTTCCCGAACATATGATCTTATTCTCCTTGCACTTTTTAGGAGACTCCGTGTAAATCTTTAGTTATATTTTGCCAAAGTATCAATTTTGTGTTTGAAATAAGATTCTTTTTACATCTCCATAATTTTGAAAAAAAAATTATTTTAACGTCTCTGCTGTGGTCCTGCTGGATGTATAGCATTGTAAACCATCTCAACCTTACCTCTATATAGAAATGCATCTTGTCTTGCTTGGTTCAGTCTCATATGGAGATACATGAGATTTTAAACTTGCCTAGTTGAAAATCTCCTGGGTATACAGAGATACACGTCTGGTAAAACTCACCTGGCTGAACATCTCCTGGGAATACAGAAACAGTCTCAACTGCTCCTATCTCTGCCATATCGTCCATATACGAAACTACAACTCCTGTGGATTTTTCAGCTTTCTTCACTCCTCTACAAAACCATAAGATAAAGTCAGACCAATGTTCCATTATTTCTTGCAATGATTTTTAGAAAAGATACACCTCACCCTCACTGATATGTCCATAGATACCAGCGAAACAAGGCTTGAATGCAACTTACTTTATGTGAAGCAAATATTACAAACAAAACTGCAAGAATCATTATCCATGAATTGAGTACGAACTTACGTTTCTATAAATGAAGTTTGTACTCCAATGTTTACGATAGTCTATACATGGCATAAATATATTGAGGAAAGGCAAAGTTTAGGTTACAATGTAGGACGGTTAATTTCAGAAAAACAATGAGAATGCATTATAGAATGATCTATAGATGGATTAAGACTAGGATTTAGAAATGTCAATAGATGGATTAAGACTAGGATTTAGAAATGTCTATAGATGGTTTAAGACTAGGATTTAGAAATGTCAATAGATGGGTTAAGACTAGGATTTAGAAATGTCTATAGATGGTTTAAGACTAGGATTTAGAAATGTCTATAGATGGTTTAAGACTAGGATTTAGAAATGTCTATAGATGGTTTAAGACTAGGATTTAGAAATGTCTATAAATGGGTTAAGACTAGGGTTTATAACTGTCTATAAATGGATTTAGAAATGTCAAGATAAGATAGGGTTAAGTTACTAGGGTTTAGAAATGTTAATAGATGGGTTAAGACTAGGATTTAGAAATGTCAATAGATGGGTTAAGACTAGGATTTAGAAATGTCTATAGATGGTTTAAGACTAGGATTTAGAAATGTCTATAGATGGATTAGGACTAGGATTTAGAGATGTCTATAGATGGATTAGGACTAGGATTTAGAGATGTCTATAGATGGATTAGGACTAGGATTTAGAGATGTCTATAGATGGATCAGGATTCACATTTGACAGAGTTATGAATGAGTGTAGATACGTTGGAAATATAATTCTGTTTGTGATTAATGAGATGTTTCTAGAGGGAGGCTCTGAAATGAAATATACTCACGGTAAGTTCATGCCCACATAGTAGATATAATCGCCTTGTATTACAAGATCTGATAAATAGCCTCGAGGTTCTGCTAATACATTGGTCAAACGGTTGCCATCAAAGTCACAACTGTGGATGTCATCATTGTAATTATCCACCCAGTATATCCTTTTACCTGAAACAAAAATTTTTAAAAATAGTTCGAATTGCCAAGAATGATCTCAACTATAGTTTATTCAATCGTTCTAAAAGTAAACTGTATTGTTGACCAAAAGTACCATCTTTTATCACATCGATGTAATACGTTTTTCATATACCCGTGTGTATTATAGTCTGCTGTGACGTCAGGTTTAGATAATGAAATGACATCACATTCGGATGTAACTGTGCAGACCATAGATACACACATGACTGTAAAACCCGAAATAACTCCAATATTTACACTTCTAATCGGTCACGTGACAAAATGTTCTCGCTTCCATCTTTTCATTTTAGCCCGCCAAAGTCTTGCACAAATTAACTTATTTATACTTTATACTTATATAATAATACTTATTTGAACTACATGTGAAATAAAAACATCAGGTGAAAGAGTAAAAATAGTCGAAGTTTCGAGTTACTAAGTCGAAAAGAAAAAGAAAAAAAAAACATAGATTCACATGGCCCTAATGCTATTCCATAGAATCGTAACTCCTCCTAAATTGTCACCTTCTTCCTGTCAATATCTCAGTGAATATTGATATACCCATAACCTGTCGAAAAGAAAAACATAATAAAAAACATAGATTCACATGGCCCCAATGCTCTTCCATAGAATCGTAACTTCCTCCTAAATTGTCACTTTCTTCCTGTCAATATCTCAGTGAATATGGATATACTCATTATCTATCACTTCGTTACCGTCCATATGAAAGCAAATAGTAATATTCCCATCACGGATTTCATTTAGATTAATCATAGACTTAAACAAATACTTACTTGAATAGTCCAAAGTCAAACCAGTTGGAGCTGTTACTTCCTCTGAATATGGCACGATTACCTCTCTTTCTGAACCGTTCATCCATACTTTCTCAATGCTTGAGCCGAACGTTCCATATTCCGCAAAAAATAGCAACCTGGTTGATAAAAGTATTGGAGAAATAAGGAGATATTCAGCACAAGGTACGTCCAGGAAATGATCTGATTTTGTTTTCAGTATCAAATTGTTATTTTAATGAAACAACTGCTAAAAATATCACTATGTACCAAAAGTATTTTTGATCATAATCTACTGAAAAGAAGAACGGTCATACATCTCCAGCAAAACAGACAGTATTAAGAATAACACAGACGATGACGTAAATATTTTTAATTGCAAATGCTTCATAAAAATCATAAGAATATCTTGCATATCTCATAGGGACAAAGCATTGAATAAAGAGAGAATAATTTTATGTTATTAAGATTTTTTCCTTACCCTTCTGATGGGAATACTGCAAGGCCTCTGGGGTACTCCAACCCTTCCACGAGAATCTTGTGTACCTTTTTGTGTGGTTGGTACACTCCTATGTAGCCTTCGGACCCGAAACTAAAGCTATCGGACACGCTGTAGTAAACGTTTCCTGTAGACCCATCAAATGCCAGTCTCTCTGGGGTCTTACCAGCTGTAGGACAAAACTTATTTTATGAATATACTGGGACGTATTAAAACAAAGCGTACTTTTACAAAAAACAAATGTCGTTTTGCTAGGTTTCTTAAGAATTGTATCAAAATTAATTCGGTATAAAAAAAACAATAAAATGAACGAAACACCGAAGATGTATTGACCATCAACAATGGTTATTCTAGCAATGAGATCGATTTGGTACTTTTCATGGAGGAAAGTGAATCTGGAAGCATGATCACAAAAGTGTCGGTCTGAGATCAAATAGCCGATACAGGGTACCAGGCAACAGATATCTATAGAACAGACAGTGCCACACCAAGTTACTTACCAAATTGGACCACGGTTGTCCTGTTGGAACCATCGGGATGCATGCTAAAAATTGTATCAGAAATAGCATCTGTGATGTAAATCTTGCCCTCAGAAGGACTGTATGCAGATCCAGTAGCATAGAAATACGGTTCACTTTGTAAAAGTGATACATTATTTCCATCAGCAAGTGATACCTGGAAAAGTTTTTGGTTGGACACATCCGAGATGAGGAGATAGTTGTTCGTCATTGGCACTGTAAAATGATTAAATATCATATCAGTATTTTCTATCGTTGTTTGTCGTGGCCAGTGTAAGACTATTAAACATATTGTTACATATGCTATATAAGACTGAAAACAAGCTAGAAAGGTCTACAAGATGGCCACTAACGAGCTAAACTATAGACTAACAATGGATCTCGTACTAGCGTACTGTAGCCGAACTGCCCTTTTTCATCTCGTTATTTACGAGCCGTCGTCTAAATGTGATTTCAGCATACTGCAAGGGAGATCCATTTCACTACCACATCATCTGTTCGTCATTAGCACGGTAAATTATTAAATATCAAATATGATATTATCTACAGTTGTTTCCTAAATCACTTTCTACATTTTCACACAAGGCTTCTAGCAATTGAGGAGTCTAACAATGGTGCAACAGCTATATGCGGCATTTTCAGTCTTTATTCATCATGTTACTTTATTACAAAATTAGTATTGTGTCTAGAGAATAAATATTTATCTATTCATTTGTAGAATCTTTTAAAATTATACTTTATACCCCAGGAAATGTCCATGATTGAGAATAACTTTATATTTTTTTTAGTTTGTCGATGATATTTCTGTAAATGTAGCCATATTTATGACCGGGGCGGTATCAGATTTTACCTGATGTGTCTTTGGTATTTTGTGACTTTGATGTACAGCTAGACTTGAAGTACACAATAACAGATTACCTTAGGTTACCCAATATATTCCCTTACCTGATACACATGTCTTGTTGTCAGTATGGAGATTTAAACCAAAGCTACATTTACATATGGGGCCCGAGTCAGAAGGGAGACAAATATCGTCACAGCCACCGTTTGGTACCTGACTACAAACACCTGAAATGGGAAACAAGAAAAACATCATTTGATGATCCTCGAGGGCTATATGGAAGATTCGACTATGATAAACATATATGTTACCTTTTCCAACAACAAATATCATATTTCCCCAACAAGAATGTGTTTATTTACGAAAATTAATAAAATCGCTGTCATATTCATTAACGTTTGGAACTATATTTCTGCGCGGAGCAATCATTTTGGCGTGCGCCATCATGCAAAATTCAGCGTAACGTCAACATCAGAAAAACAAAGACTGAACAACAAAACAAGGTTTGTTGATTGATGGTATGATTTTCAATCAATGTTGCAGGATAAATAGAATACATTGTCAGTGTCTTAAAGTATAAGCTGCATTTTGGCGCGGGACAGAAAGACAAAAGTGGCTCTAAATATTGGAAGGTACCACAGCGCTGATCTCCACATTTCGGCATATTTACTAATGTTGTTGAAATCTGTATTGACACATATTTTCTGTACTCTACTTGAGATATTTTTGTTACGCTGAGTTGTTACTAATGTTATCACAAATTCATTTCAATTTTCTTTTCTTGGTGTAAAACACGCATGGGGTGGGGGGAGGGGGATGGCAGTGATACTCCAGGATACCCTCAGGATACCCTCAGGACACCCTCCTTCAACACAAACGCAATAGATCATGGACAATTTTATTTACCACACCAAGACTGTTTGTCGTGTTCAGTTACCCAGAGACCTATATCACATTTGCGTTATACATATACATCTTTGTATAAGGCATTAACATCAGCTAAATGACTCTACACTGCTATTATCTGAAAACTGTTGGTAATTCATCAGAACAAAAGATCTGTCTCTTACGGAAATTAATTTTTATAATCTTACTTCGTTCCTGTTTTTGAAGGTTGATATCGAAGACTGCTAATGCTGTAACTCGTCCAAATTCCTCGTCGTGAAGCCTGGTGTCCTTGCCTGGGTCGAGGTAGTTGGTTCCGTACAGATAGCCGTCTACATCCGATATCCACAGAGAATACCTCTGATAGCACAGATAGCATTTAATAGGGATACATTGCTAGAGATAGTTTTCCGTATCAGAAGACAGATATATTCAATATGCAAGTAAAATGTACACACTGGTGTCTATAAGCATAAAGAAGAATGATAAAGCATCAGGTTACGAAGACAAGATGTTATGAAAATATGTCTTTTAAAATTACCTTGTAAATGACGAGATCATAAGTTGAAACAGAGGTAAATAAATACACAGGGTCGCCTCCATCAGGGTTTACTGCTGTCAGCGTAAAGAAATCCAGGTAGAAAAGCCTGTATCAATGAAATGAACAGCTCTTAATTAATTCAGCTTAATCTCAGTAACTGCCAGCAATTGTTTGGGGTTTATTGGGATTTGGTTCGTGCGCAGTTTATTTTGATTACTGAATACGGAAATACAATTGCAGCAATTGAGAGAGACATGGTTAGGAAATGAAAACTTACCTCCCAGTGGCCGGATCGTATCAATCAGGACTGAGTGAGACATGGTTAGGAAATGAAAACTTACCTCCCAGTGGCCGTATCATATCAATCAGGACTGAGTGAGACATGGTTAGGAAATGAAAACTTACCTCCCAGTGGCCGGATCGTATCAATCAGGACTGAGTGAGACATGGTTAGGAAATGAAAACTTACCTCCCAGTGGCCGTATCATATCAATCAGGACTGGGTGAGACATGGTTAGGAAATGAAAACTTACCTCCAAGTGGCCTTATCATATCAGTCAAGATGAGTGAGACATGGTTAGGAAATGAAAACTTACCTCCCAGTAGCCGGATCAGCATACATAGCCGTAGGATAAAAGGTTTCTTCAGGCCGAACAATAACGTTTGAAGTCATTCCGTCCAAGCTTCCTGCGTAAACTGAGACTGATCCGTCGAGAGCCTCTGACATCCAGAAAAGAGTTCTAAAACAACAACAGAAGAAGGAAATGAAGGGATATTGATTAAGTAACTATCATTTCCCACTGTTCCATTGCCTTTCCACTATATCGCATTTCTATTGATTACAAATAACAGTATTACGTCCCCTCTTCTTTCTCTCTCTTTTACACAAAATACATGGCATAAATTGTTCACGTTTTTCTAGACATAATAGTCACCTTCCTTTTCATACATTTTGAATAATAAATGAATTATTCAACTGTCATTCTACATATATGTCTGAACATAGGCAATAGTCCCCGTTTTCCTACTCACTTGTTATGCGGGCTAATTGCTATTGGGCCCAGGCCAGTAATTCCGGAAAACACAATCGCATTTGCTTTATCGTTTACGTTGACAACTCTGATATGGCCAGTGTCTGCTTCCGCCCAGAATAGGTTTTTATTAATCCAATCATACACGAGTCCTGTAAATTTAAAAATGTAATCGCATTGACCTTTGATCAGTTATCGACAAATGCTATACTTTGAAAGTCATTAAAATATTAAGTATCTTAGCTGCTGTCTATTTTCTGTCGCACATTAATGTTAATTCTGATATATGGTAACGCAGGTACTCTCTCACTCGATTAAGGACAGGTCATCATGATAGATACCATTCTTATCTTACTTTATGAAGTGCAAGATTATATATCAACACTGATTGAATTAATGAAAGAATTTTTTCGAAAGGACAAACTGCTCATTTAAAGCCTTACAGAAAAGGAACATTTTACAGACTTTCGTATAACCTCTCTAAGTTTCAATAAAAAATGTGGTAGCGATCTGCACACAATGACCTCTCTTCATGTTATAGATATAATTAATAAATTTAATTAATGAATAATAGTTAATTACGCTAAATATCACTTGGAAGAATTTTTAGTCGGTCACTTAACACATTGCTGTGTGTTTCTTTACTAACCTGTCACATTTCCAGCAGGGGAAAGAACTGTAGTCGCTCCAGTAACAATATCATGGGCACTTATATCGCTCATAGCTTTGTCGTAATAAAACACGGTGTTAGTACTGGCATCTGCCGCTAGGTGGAGCACATTACTGAAGTTGCCACGGATACAGATGGGAGAAAGAGTTCCTCCGGACACACTGCGAACCTCGGACATGCAAATGTCCGTTCCATTACTGATCAGCACACCCGCGGGATGCAGATAATGTTTCTCTGTGAAAGGATTAAAGGGAATTACTGGTGGTTTTATGAAAAATTTAATTTCAGTGTGATATCAAATAAAGAATGTAAGTCATTGTTGTCATTCTTCCTCAAGTACCTGCTTTGTTTTGTTGTCGTTGTTCCCTGTTTGTGTGTGCGAATTTTTCTGGGTTTGTTCTGTTTATGTGTGTGTTTATGGTGTAATTGTTCGTTACCTGTGCTGTACATGTTTTGTTGACATTGATCGTTGTTTACCTGTGTAATTACCTGTGTTAAATATTTACCTGTACACGTTTTGTTATCGTTATTAAGGGTATATCCCTCTTTACAGAGACAAGCGTGAGTTGAGGTTCCGTTAGCTGTACATATGTGTTCACACTGATGGTCCTTACAGACATCTGAAAATGATAATAAAAAAAAACAACAAATATTAAAATCAACCGAAGCTCTCCCCTTTTTCTACGATACATGATGGAATATATTGAATGTCATTTTAAAATGCCACTGTTATATGCCTTCCTTATTCCTTATTCTGTAGGTATTTAATAACAAAAATTCGTAACATATGTACAGTACTGATGGAAAGTGATGTCCATGTTGGAACAAACCAATTGATTAAGCTCACTGTGTAAGACTAGGTCAAATTTCAAAATACTTTATTCGAATATCAAGTACATAATATAAAATATTACACTGTTCATGAATTTGGGTTGCCAGTTTCTTAAGTATTAAGACATAAGACATATCAGTAATTTAAGAATTTTTTGTTTAGTAGAACGTCCATAGTAAAATTACTGCTGTGCTATAGATGGTCTTTTAAGTTACCTGACTGATCCGACACTAGAAATGACCGGTCATAGTAGGATGTGGCAGTGGGTGTGTTTGACCAGTAGGACATGAAAAGATTGATTGATCCATCCAATTTAAGGAAACAGACAACGAAATAACTATCAGGCTCGGCAACACAGACATCCTCCTGGTAAAAACGTAAAAAATGATACAGTATGAAAAATAATGAAAATAAATAAAACAAAGAATTAGATTCAGTAGAACCTTCAACGAATCAAACTGCATCGGACAGCTGTTTCGTCCTTCTAGGACTCGACAGTGATGCTACATCATACAGCTGTTTCGTCCTTCTAGGACTCGACAGTGATGCTACATCATACAGCTGTTTCGTCCTTCTAGGACTCGACAGTGATGCTACATCATACAACTGTTTCGTCCTTCTAGGACTCGACAGTGATGCTACATCATACATCTGTATCGTCCTTCTAGGACTCGACAGTGATGCTACATCATACAGCTGTTTCGTCCTTCTAGAACTCGACAGTGATGCTACATCATACAGCTGTTTCGTCCTTCTAGGACTCGACAGTGATGCTACATCATACATCTGTTTCGTCCTTCTAGGACTCGACAGTGATGCTACATCATACAACTGTTTCGTCCTTCTAGGACTCGACAGTGATGCTACATCATACAGCTGTTTCGTCCTTCTAGGACTTGTCAGTAATTTGGGGCCCAGAATTTTAAATTCTGTGAGGTAAAGGGGAAAAAACCCAAAACTATCGAAAGAAATGCCAAAATCTAGAAGGGGATGCACTAGCCCTATAATTCGATAAATTTCGTTATTTTCATAAATCTGGTAATTTTTGAAGAACTTCACGTACATGTAAGTCAAAAAGTAAATATAACGACATACAAAGAAAATATAACACATTACAAAGTTTTGAAAGAATAGATAAAGCAAATATTGTTTAGGTATCATACATTCTATCACCACTGGAAAAACCATAAAAGTACTGGAAAAGTTATATCATCATTGGAAAAACTATAACATCACTGGAAAAATTATATCATTACTGGAAAAATTATATCATCATTGGAAAAACTATAACATCACTGGAAAAATTATATCATTACTGGAAAAATTACATCATCATTGGAAAAACTATAACATCACTGGAAAAATTATATCATTACTGGAAAAATTATATCATTACTGGAAAAACCATAACATCACTGGAAAAATTATATCATTACTGGAAAAATTATATCATCACTGGAAAAATTATATCATTACTGGAAAAACCATAACATCACTGGAAAAATTATATCATCATTGGAAAAATTATATCATTACTGGAAAAATTATATCATTACTGGAAAAACCATAACACACTAAAAATTATATCATTACTGGAAAAATTACATCATCATTGGAAAAACTATAACATCACTGGAAAAATTATATCATTACTGGAAAAATTATATCATCATTGGAAAAACTATAACATCACTGGAAAAATTATATCATTACTGGAAAAATTATATCATCAGAGAAAAAAATCACATTATCACTGTAAAAGTTATAATCATCAATAGAAAAGTTATAAACATTTGCAGAAAAGTTGTATCATCATTGAAAAATTTATATCATCCGTGAAAAAGTTATATATCATCACTTGAAGTTAAATTATCAATGAAGTTTTTTATCATTTTATAAATTCCTATGTTTCACTGGGAACAATGTGATAGAAATACACCTAAAATTGATATCACATTTGTGTAACTTGTTTGCTGATGTAGAAATTTTGGTCTGTTGATAAAGTGAACCCTTACCGCCGTAACTGCCATTGACATGATATTGAAGCCAGCCAGTTTTCTGATGGACCGGCGATCGTTGCCGAAGTAGGTCATGGACTCCATAACCATACGATCGTTGTCCAAAACATATAGACGTCTTTCTGTAGGATCGGCGACCAAACTGGTCACAAAGCCGAGGGTTCTGTGAGTTATCACACTTTTTGAATCCCCAGACAAAGAGGCAGATGATATACGGCCACTGCTGGACCGTAAGTCAAAATAAAACATCTTCCTGCAAAACAGCGAATTTCAAAAGATACATGTATGCAATCACAAACAAAAATCACGCTTTAAAAAGATAAAATTCGTAAAAATGTCTCACTCCCAAAAATCACTTCAAACTTTAGAAATTGGTACATGTGTATGAAAAAGGTCATCACCTTGTACTGCAAGTTAACACGTTACTACAAATACGTTGAGCCTTCTACAGAACCCAAAATATTTTCGTGTGATCGGTACCTATATTTTGACTACTAATGCAATGGTTAATTACCTTGGAGACCAACGTTATTTTATAAGTGTAAAACATCGCAGTAAATTCCTAGAACCTGCTGAGATTAGTCATTTGTGAACAGAGTTAACAAATTCACTTATACCACGGCAGGATATTGATGTAGCTAGCGGCAATCCAGTTTCTCAATACAAACTTAAAACAAAAGCTGTTCCGATCTAGAATCGAATGATCTGACAGGATATGTTATGTAAGAAAACACATAACCATTCTATCAAGCTCTGTTAAGTTATGAATGTCCTTGCGACATTAATGAATGATGAGATGACACAGTGAATATTCCCCGACTTTTTTTATTTTCCATAAAACTGCTACTTCCGGTCATTCTGAAGAGGGATAACCGCTGTATACTTACGCTTCTCTCGCGTCCACTGCTATGGCCGTAGGGTAAGATAGGCTATGAACGACAACTGCGAACATAGTGTGGTCGCTAGTGTAGGCAGGTTGTACGCAAATCCACCCGTGTTCGGAATCTACCCAATAAATGAGTTTCCTTATCCAATCAAAAGCGAGGCTCCTTGATGCTTCAGAAACACCAGCATGCACGTTTGTGGTAGTGCGGTTTGGGTGAGAAAACTGGAGATCAAAGTCGTCCATTCTGTAGATGCTGCGTGTGTCCTTCTCTATGAAATAAACTGAGTTGCTAAAGGGATCGTTAACCAGTGCCGTCATGTCTGTCTCGTACGTATCGTGTGGTAGCGTGTAGGAAACCGGTTCACCAGATAGTGAGGAATCAATGTCACTCTGAATGTCCCGAGGAGTTCCTGGAATCGACTGGAAAAAACCACTATCAAAGAAGTCTGCAGATCGAGAGATGAGCACACCAACATCTGCAACAAAACACAACATAACACATATTAAAGTGCTTAAGTTATCATTAGAAGAAAATGGTAGATATAAAAAAGATAATTCACTTTCTGTATCATATGTTTTTATGTTTTTTCTCTTATCACAAATCTATATTTCTTTTTTTTCTGCTTTCACAACCAAGACAGCTAGATGAACGTCTAAATCGCTTTGAAAGGCATATATATGTAACCCAAGAATTACGAGAGTCTTGCATCTACGTAAACTCCCGCCTTTATTTCCAATTCACAACATGTCCTGTTTGTTAAGTGGGCTCTTTTCCAGGCAGGCAACAACACAGTATGGTTTCGAACTATTCTAAAGAATGTTTATCTTAAAGAAATTGTCAAGCTCATATAAAACATAGAAATGATTAAAGCACTGAATTTTAGTTAATATTGTCTACGTTGACATTTATGAAAATACAGGCTATTAGCATAAATAATGGAACAAATTGTGTCTTTCTTTTTAATTCCTCTTTTTAAAAATTGTTTTAGATGTATGAGAGCGCATCAGACGAGAAAGTAAGCGCCTAGAGAAGTCTTTTGTTGTTACTTATATCAGAGAGACTAGCGAAGCGCAATCTTCATTATTCTTGAAGAAATAACCCAGGTACATTAAGCGCTTCTTTCAGCTTTCACTGACAATGTTACCAACAGCTACAATCTATCACTTAACTATTTGATAAATCTTGATAATTACTGTTTATCTAGGAAACGAAGGGTTGTCATGTTAGGGGATGGCGAAAAGACTCGCAGAATAGAGGGTGAAACGCATACGAGAAAGGGAAGTTGAGGCTTGCTGGTGAGGGGAGAAGAAAATGGGTCTCAAGCTGAGAAGATACGATAGATAATATCAAGATGAGATAGGGTTTAGTAACATCTGGGTGAAATGATGAGGAAGGCACTCCAGTATGAGATGGTGAGATAGGCACTCCAGAATAAGATGGTGAGGTAGGGACTCCAGTTTGAGATGGTGATGTAAGGGACTCAAGTATGAGATCGTGATGTAAGGGACTCCAGTATGAGATGGTGAGATAGGGACTCCAGTATGAGGTGGTGAGATGGCACTCCAGAATAAGATGGTGAGGTAGGCACTCCAGTATGAGATGGTGAGGTAGGCACTCCAGTATGAGATCGTGGTGTAAGGGACTGCAGAATGAGATGGTGAGATAGGCACTCCAGAATAAGATGGTGAGGTAGGCACTCCAGAATAAGATGGTGAGGTAGGCACTCCAGTATGAGATGGTGAGGTAGGGACTCCAGAATGAGATGTTGAGATAGGGACTCCAGAATAAGATGGTGATGTAAGGGACTCCAGTATGAGATGTTGAGATAGGGACTCCAGAATAAGATGGTGATGTAAGGGACTCCAGTATGAGATGGTGAGGTAGACACTCCAGTATGAGATCGTGATGTAAGGGACTCCAGTATGAGATGGTGAGATAGGGACTCCAGTATGAGGTGGTGAGGTAGGCACTCCAGTATGAGACCGTGGTGTAAGGGACTCCAGAATGAGATGGTGAGGTAGACACTCCAGTATGAGATGGTGTGGTAGGCACTCCAGTATGAGATCGTGGTGTAAGGGACTCCAGAATGAGATGGTGAGGTAGACACTCCAGTATGAGATGGTGAGGTAGACACTCCAGTATGAGATCGTGGTGTAAGGGACTCCAGAATAAGATGGTGAGGTAGGCACTCCAGAATAAGATGGTGTGTAGGATTCCAGAATAAGATTGATTGGTAGAAACTGCCAGTATGAGATGTTGAGATAGGACACTCGAGCTGAGATGGTGATGTGATGTAAGGGACTCCAGTATGAGATGGTGAGGTAGACACTCCAGTATGAGATGGTGAGGTAGGGACTCCAGTATGTGATGGTGAGGTAGGAACTTTATGTAGGATGGTGTGTAGAGATTTTCGGGTGAGATTATTGGATAGAAACTGCGAGCTGAGATAGTTGAGTAAGGACACCGAGCTGAGATAGTTGAGTAAGTAAGGACTCCGAGCTGAGATAGTTAGGTAAGAACTTCGGTCTGAGATAGTTGGGTAAGGACACCGAGCTGAGATAGCTGAGTAAGGATTCCGAGCTGAGATAGTTGGGTAAGTATCAAAAGCTGTGATAGTTGGGTAAGGAATCCGAGCTGAGATAGTTGGGTAAGAACAACGGTCTGAGATAGTTGGGTAAGGACACCGAGCTGAGATAGTTGAGTAAGTAAGGACTCCGAGCTGAGATAGTTGGGTAAGAACTCCGGTCTGAGATCGTTGGGTAAGGACACTGAGCTGAGATAGTTGGGTAAGTATTCCGAGCTGAGATAGTTGGGTAAGTATTAAAAGCTGAGATAGTTGGGTAAGGATTCAGAGCTGAGATAGTTGGGTAAGTATTAAAAGCTGAGATAGTTGGGTAAGGATTCCGAGCTGAGATAGTTGGGTTAGGATCCACTGTCAGATGGGTTAGTGGAAAATTCCAGGTGAGATGGTTAGTAGAGATTCCCAAATGTCATGACAACTAACGGTTTTGTAGCGAGGTTTGAGGATGTAGGCTGTAAGAGACCTCCATAGAGTCCATTAGTGGGCTGTAAAATGACATGGAGTAAAAAAAAAAGGAGAGGAAATCCGGTCACAAACTCGAATGTAATAGAATATTACAACAACATGTGTTATTACTTATCTATATATGTCAGTTTGTCATTAATATGTAGACGATCAGCATTCAGCCCTAATATATTCTAGGTCATTACATCTCATCGTAAGCTATTTATATGCTAATCCATCGTATACTTGCATGTAAAATACATAAACTTGTGTTTAAATGTGAATTCGTCTGTGTTTAACCGCTATGCAGCCTTTTATTTGCTATCTTCGATTCTATTTAGAATCGTTATTATTTTTGTTCAGTTCCCAGCTATTTCTGAAACATTTCTAGATTCGTGCATGTTCTCATCAGGTTTTTCACATTTCCTTTATCACTTTTGGTTTTTCTCGGATGTATCAAAGGTTTTGAAAATGTATACCCTTTGCCCTTCTGACGAGTCCTGGACGATCAAAACAACTTGCGAATGACTTACTTTAATTCATTATTAAATTTATTTAATTTGTTTCAAAAGGTAATTTAAATTCTGACAAGGTACAATGTTTAGATGAAATAGGAACTCCAGAATGACATATCAATTTACCAATCTGTCCAATCGAAACATTTAAATGAAATAAAAATTGTGACTGGCTTGTTTAGTAAACATGTTTATTCAGTTGAGTAGAAGCATTACGGATGGGAATTTTAAAGGTAAACAAAGACACGATAGTCGTGCGAGGCGCGGTTCGACTCGTAGATAATAAGATAAAACTGAGCACGTGCTGTCCCCGACCTTCACATAACCTTCACGTTGTCATACCAATAGAATTGTAATTCTTCTGAAATGCTACTGTAAAGTGTGTGTATTGGGATTTGAAGGCCGTGTCAATAGACCTCGTAAGCTGTGCCATGTCGTACAGAAGACATGAAAAAGAAAATATGATCACTGCCAATCTTAGAATCAAATACAGTATATACAACTAGGCTAAAAGTCACATAAACATGTTGAAAATTACGAGTTAAAGTCATCCAACTGATAATTCCCAAGCTCTCATTTTATCGAATAATGCACATTTCCAGCTATCATTTCGCCAGATATATTGCCACTAGTTTCAACGTTTTAAGCTTTTGTTGTAAACACATTCATGTTATGTACTGTCAGCGATATATAAGACGTGTTTACCAGCTATCAATTTCTTGTTTGTTTGTTGTACTAACTCAGGATATAGAAGGCTGGGTACTCTCATGTTCTATTGATGACCTTGAACACATCGACTACAACAACAACATATTGCGAATGTGGAAAAGCTGGTCGACAAAATGTTTTATAAATACCCCCACTGCAAGTCAATGAATGATCATTTCAAAGCAGGACGTTTATCCTGGACAAGACACCTTTCGACACCCACACCAACCTAAAAGGTCCACGGTAGCACTATATTGGAGGGTCACGTTTCACGCGGCTGGAGACTTGTACACCAAGTTTAAAGGTCTTTACAAAATACCCGGGTACAGTTGCTTGTTATTTTATACGGTGTCAAAATTTCGCCTCGTCGGATGAGTAACCGATAAAGAAAATTGGATGTGAAATGGGTCGGGATTATTATATATCTAGTACACGTTTTACAACCATTGATGACTAACACAGCATACCATATACCGTCATGGTCTATCGGATGTCGGGGTAAAACTTGGGTCGTCGTGGAATACCTTAATTACCTAAGGAAATAAGTTGTTTTTCAATACGGTACTAAATAGCCCGTTTAAACATAAAATTGAATTAATAGGGCGACCCACCAGTTTCAAAAGGCCGTAGAACCATTGTATGTGTACCGTACTGAACAATGAACAAAGAAAAAATACAGGCATGTCAACAGAGTTTTGATTTAAACTCAAATTCTGTGAAATTAGGACAATATCTGAACAATGAAAGAATTACACGAAGACCCGTGAAAAAAAATATCAAGGAGAAAAAAACGAGGTGTTCCGGAAGTAAGCCTTTTCTGCTTTATCGACTTCCGCCATATAGTTCTTGGTCAGTCCAAATGTCACGTTCCCAAATGAAAACAAGGCAAAATAACAACGGAATCACCAGGCAAATTAACGAACACGTTCGACTTCATTTCGGAAAGGGGAATATAAATCATTTTCACTTGTGACTTGTTTTGTAACCTAATTAATAATCCATTTCACCAGGAATTGAACGCATGGGCAACTTTGTGTAAAGTGTTTTAATGGACATTGCGATAAAAGGAACAGTCATGCCTAGGTATTTGTATTCTTAAGATTAAGAAGTATTACTGCAATGCACAGTCTCCATCGCGCAAACAATATAACTCCAAACAATATTTTGCAATTCAAATCATCGCTACTGTCTCTATATTATCTGATCTGACTTGTTATTTACGAACTAACACCAAGATTTACAACATCGCACACATACTTACAGGTGAATTACGTCGTTATATTTCTTTTATGCTCTCCGTGTCTGTCTCCGTGTAACATTTGCTCAAAATTTGCCCTAGTTTAATAGAATTTGATTCTGAATTAAGATTCTAGCTAGAACAAAAAACGCTGCAGAATGGCTTGAGTTTAAAGCGCACCATTCTTGCTTTAAGTGCCCTAAAAGATTGTGTAAAAATACAA